TGAAAAACTATGGCTGGGAGAAATCAAAATCAGTGTTGCTTGCAAGAAGATTAGAGGAGGCTATGCTAGAACAATTGGTTTTAATTCCTTATAATATTGGATAATTATCTAAAACTATTTATTTCATGTGTTCAAATGATAATAAACTTATTAAGCTTATACTTTTGACTTGTTCAATTGTAGGTACCATTGGATATTGTTAGTCATTGATCTAACATTGATGATGTGTTTTTACTTGATCCGATTAATTCTAAAATAAACACAAGCTTTGAAATTGTATAAAACACGTAAGTTTGGCTAGTTCGTACATTTTTAAGCAATTTGAGTTACTCTAAAATATTTTGACATTTGGAATTTCTTTTGTAAAGTCTTTGAAAATTTATGAAACTACACAAAGGAGAGAGGACCAATCCAGTTTGGAAAGTAGTTCAGGTAATCAATATCATTTTCTCAATTTTATCATACTTATATTATGCTAATGATTGTTCAGCTTGATCAATACACCTTTATATATAGTTTCTAATAATAATGAAAATACTTTTATGTAGTCCCCGCAACAACCTACAAACGTGAATGTGGGTTTTATGTAATGCGGTATATGACAGACCTCATTAGAGATTAAAGCATCCTAAGAAAACAAAATGTGAGATAAATTCAAACTTTTATTACTATTATATTCATGATACTTGTACATCTTCTTCATTATCTAATTGTTTGTAAATAACCTCTTGTAGTTCAATGGAAAAAAAGACTTACACGGAAACCGAACTTGATGAAGTGCGAGTTGAATGGATTAATTTCGTACTAAAGAATATGAGTTGAAATCCAATGTAAGTATGATATAACTTCCGTCTTTAAATTACTAATCAAAATTTCTTTAGTTGGTAAAGAATATATAATTTATTCAAGATTTCATTTTAGATTTGTTGATTCAATGTATATTTGGTTTTATGACTTTAAAATATCTGCTCATACATTGAAGATTTTCATTTTGGATTTATTGATTCTATGTATATGTATATTTTTTTCTATGGTAATCCAAACAGTTTATATTAGTAACAACCAAAGTTGTTATTCATTTTCTATTGATGCAGGGGATGAAGAGTCAGTGTGATGAGAAAATGTTCAATTTTGTCTTTTGTAAGTCTCTACAAAAATATTAAGTTATTCATATGCTTCTAGCGTTTCTGAATTAATTGTGTTTTTATTTTTCAGGTCAAAAATTTATTGAGAAATGCAAAATATGGTCAAAGAATTCAATAACTTAGTTTTTAAGTTTTTTTTTTTATTTTTTAATATATGTAAGCACAGTTAAAAACTTTTTACTAATTCCTTTGTATATACTTTTTGAATATTTAACTTTCATTTATGAATATATGACATTATTCCATTCAATATATGGTTGTGATTCAAAATATAGTATATAGTGTGTATTACATTCTTCAAATGCATATAACATGTGACCTTATCTGATTTTAATTCACGTGTTTTTTAGATATTAATCACACTTAAAATCTGTGATCTAAATGTTTATTATCACAGTTTTTATTATTTTTAATCACACTTAAAGATGTGATCTAAATATTTTAATCACACTTAAAGGTGTGATCTAAATGTTATTAATCACACTTAAAAGGTGTGATCTAAATCTTATCAATCACACTTAAAGGTATGATCTAAATATTATCAATCACACTTAAAAGGTGTGATCTAAATGTTATTAATCACACTTAAAAGGTGTGATTAAAAATGACCCCTTTTAATCACACTCCCAAAGATCACACTTTAATAAAACTAAAAAGGTGTGATTAAATAACAAACATCACACAAAAAAAGTGTGATCCTTATTTTTTTTGTAGTAGTGCTATCACTAAATTGAAATGATAAAAATCCTCGGCTATGTTGGCTTGTGCTGGATTTTTTTCTTGAACTCCCTCCATCCTTGCAAACGTGACAATCCTTAACGCGATGTCTATCTTTGCCGCACACAAAACACTTTCCTTTGAACTCTTGTTGAACCCGTTGTTGATCCTTTGTTGATCTTACTAGTGGATCTTGTTGGGACCATTGCCATCATGCTTCTGCTTCTTGTTGTTGAACTTTGACTCTTGTCCATGTTCCAAACATTTGCTTTAGCTTGCATGACATGGTTTCCTGACTTCTTTGTCGGAACCACGGTTGTCCTCCTCAATCCTGAGCCGTGTGCTATCAGTTTCTTCCAATTTCATCTCCTTGCGCTTATGCTTTAAATAATTCTTGAATTCTTTCAAGATAGTGGCAATTTTTCAATGATTGCTGCTATTTGGAAAGATTCACTGAGAACTATCATTCGCATGTATGCATGGAGAATTAATTGAGATCTTGAACCTGGCTAATAATCGTCTTGGAATCCATATTTAAAATATAGAAAACGGCCGACAACAAATTTCTTTGTATAGGCGTCCTTTGTCTTATACTTATGATCCAAAGATTTCCATAGTTTTTAGCAGTGCTTTTACACTATACACATTGTACAGTGTATTGTCCAACCCATTGAGGATATAATTCGAACATAGAAAACCATCATGTTTCCATGCATCGACTGTGTGCAACCACTTGCTGGTCAGTGTCTCCCTCGTTCAGTGCGGTGCTTTTTCAAGAGTGAAGCGAGCCAAATTCAATGTGGTAAGATAAAACATCATCTTTTGTTGCCATCTTTTAAAATCATTTCCATTGAATTTTTCTGCTTCTCCATGATTTACCGGTATCGCTGGAGTACCCACTGGCACAATAGGTGTGGGCTTTGAGTAATAACAGTTTAGTACTGTTTATTTTAGTTGTCATAATTTTAACGAAATAATAAGACACCAATCCAAATTTATACAAAAAGAATTTACACAACAATATACATAATAATATTTTGTAACAAAATTCCAATGATAAACAGTATATTACTACTATGTTATAAAGAAATCATTAAACAGTATATTACTACTATTTAAGAAATTAAACAGTATATGACTACATTTAATTTTCCGAAGCAAAATATTCGTCTGTCTAACAAAAAATAAATAAAAAATGGAAATGTATTTTTAAGATTGTTACACCCACAGTGGTGGTGTGTGTATAAATTAAATAAACGTAAAATAAAATAATTCAGAAAATAATTATATAAATTAAATTTTGAATTAAACCCTTACAAAATTAATGTTGAGGCTTGGTTGGATGCAATCTCCTTAAAATAGATTTCGCCCTCGCTCTGGTGCTTCGAGTTTTAACAGTATCTACTTTCTAGGATACAACGATTAACGCTTGAATTTGCAGCACTACAAAACCAAGTCTGGCGAACCAAATTATGTAGTAACTCTCTCTTTTTCTTCCTAAAATTAAATGCAGAATAGATGCAGGAAAAGCACAGAGAAGAAGGACAAAATTCTGATAGAAATTTTGATCCAAGAAATACCAGAAGGCTGGCTTTTTATAGGAGAAATAGTGGCTATTCCGAACAGGTAGAAACCTTTCGGACAGATTGAATAGGTACTTGGAAGATTTGAATCTGTTTGGACAGATTCAATTTGAATTGAAAGGTATGAACCTGTTTTGAACCCTTTGAACCTGTTCAGGTGGGTCTGAACCCATTAGGGATCTGTTTGGGTGAAGAAAAAATTCTGAACCAATTTATTTGAAATTTTGAAAACAAATTAAAAATAAATAATTCAATTCAAATGTTTTTGGCCCAAAAAGATAAATATTGGGCTAGACAAGCCTAACCCAACCTCACACCACGCACCCGTGCCCAAGCCGCAGCCTAGCCCGCCTGACAATCGGACGGATGGCGGCGACGGCGCCGCCCGTTGAGTGTGGTTTTTGTTTGGGTCCAATGGGCTAACTCACTTTACCCATAACTTCACCCTGTCATAAACTTGGGCACCCTTTAGGGTCTATCCAAGTATCCCAAGCTAAGGTATATAAACCATTCAAAACCTTAAGCCTTTCCAATGTTGGACAGCACATTTCACAAATGTGTAGAAAACCACCTAAATTCATTTCCACGAACTCGAAAATGCGCGTTGAATTCTCATTCATCCGAAAATGGTTTTGAGCAACCAAATACACAGTTTTATTCAGTATGTAGCATAAACATGAACCCAATAAAAAATGTTAAAAATAACGCTTGGGTCCCACCTTAATTAATGGTCAAAGTTACAAAAAATAAGAATATTTCAAAGCCATTTTCCAACATCAAACACCATATTATAGCACTCATGCCAATCCCCAATCAATACACTATGAGTATGGATTGAAATAATGAAGTAAACTGTGGACACCCCATTTTTGACTGCTTGCAAGGCTCGAGCACTTTATCCGGTATACTCGATGATGAAAGTGGTTTTGTGCGTAGTTCGAGGTCTCAACGAAGGGGCCATGTTTAAAGCTCCAAAACATACCAAACATCCCATATTCCATTGATTATACCCAAGAAATTCATTTTTACACATTGCGCCACCCTATGCTGAGTCTGAAGAAAAAAAAAACAGGGGAATACATTGAAGGCGGCGCTGCCTCATTGAGGGCTGGCTGTGGCTATTGAAGGCCGGCCGTGCCTTAGTAGCAAAAAACACTGTTCTAGGCGGGAGCCCGCCAGCTGTCCATTTTTGAAGATATTTATGACTCATCTTGCTCAAATTCTATAAAAAGACCATATATCTCTATTTTGAGGATTGAAGAATTTCAAAAAAGCCTCTACACCTTCTTGAGAGCTCCCTCTTTCTCCTTCTTCTTATGCAAGCGACACTTTGAGCAAACCTATCCCTTAACCTATATCCATACACCATATACACCTTCACACCTTAGCCTAAGAACCTTGGTTAAGCCTTGAACACCATAATTCAAGCTTGAAAGTGTGGTGAGACTTAGTTTGATTCATAAGCAAAAGCTCACTTCTTTGAGAGGTATAAGCTTGTATCCTCTCTTTTACTTCTTGTTCTTTCATTTACTATCTAGTTTTTGTAAGTTTATGTGGTTTTTGATTCTATTCCAAGTGTTAAGTTTGGGTTTGGAGAGCTACCAAAAGGGTAGAGAGAGTTTACCTCTTTCTACACCTTTACCTATAGCTTAAACCCTTACTTTTACACTATTTTCCTTTGCTCCCTAAGTTGATTTTCAGAGTTAAAACAAGGCTAAAAATCATGCTTTGCATCTCAAAAGTGGAGGGGTTAGCCACCCCTCTTTGTTTTGTTTACTAGCATTGTTTTCTTTCTTTGTTGATTAGCTTTTTAGGCTCTTCTCATGCACTTTTAACCACTTTTTTTTCCTCTCTTAAGGGCTGTTTTAGGGCTGTTCTAAGTTATTTAAATAGTTCATGCTTTGATTAGCTTGGTTGTTGTCTCATAAGTTTTGCTACATAGCTTGTTGTATATTGTTCTTAGCTTTTGTTTAACTAATTTCCATGTTTAAGAATCTCATTTAAAAATCGACTTGCCATTCATCTCTTTCATTTGAGAATTATTTCAACCGATTGACGGTTAATCAAAATGTGAACTAGCGATTTATGCTTAATGGCTTAATCTCTAAGAGGTTCATTGCCATGGTGTAGTCTTTTTTTCATGTTGAGATCACCTCCCGTTTGATATTTTTCACTTAGTGGACGTATCTCTAGTGGACGTAACAATCATCTTGGACTTAATGGATTAAAGGATGGAAAAGACTTGAATTTGGCTTTAATGAACTAACTCACATGAAAAATGAGTTATATTGCTTGAGGTTCGGCCGGACATTATGTCAAATTTAATTATGTCAAGGGTTGTCTTACATTAATTCATGATTTTTAATGAATCTTGAAGCGTCTCTACCTCCCTCTTGAGTTCCCTTATGAAGGAGGAGGGGTGGTTGTTTGTTTATTGCATTTATTGATTTTTGTCCAAATTGTACCTGAATCATCAAGCAATCAACTTGCTCATTGATGGTTTTGGAAACGATTCCAACCTTCCTCTCGAGGCTTTCCCATGACAGAGAAGTGTGAGAAGGACAAACAAAGTTCAGAACACTCTGTCTGCACTATTTTCACTTCAGAGCACAAAACAAAATTTTCATGAAATTGAGGCACAGCTGGCCTTCTTTAGGCTTGGTCGGGCTTCATTGAGGTCGGCCGGTCATCAACATTTGGTCAGCAGTGTATTT